ATATTAAACGATGGGTCTCTCCAACTCAAAAAGAAATAACCCGGAGAAAGAGGAGGTTGCCACCTCAACCTGAACCTAAACGTAGTAATTTCATTGAATGGAATAGGAATGCAGAAATATATGCGTTTAATACACGACTTTCAGAAAAATTTGATACAAAGAAATTGGATCAAGCATTTACACATAAATCATATATTCTTGATGAATTAAAAAAGCAGCAAGAAATGGGAATAGAAGAACCTAAACTTGATATATCAGATAATGAAGAATATATTGAGAAAGGAAGAGAAATAACTTCAGAAGTTGTAAAGAAATATTTAAACAAAAATTTACCACGTCTTCCTGAAGTTGGTATTACGTATGTAAAAACTACATTATATGCATAAGCTATTATAAAAAGATACTTAAGCTGTAATAAGAACAAAGTTTTATAAATATTTTACATTACATAAACTTAATTTGAACTTTTAAATCTATTTCTAATGTTCAAATGTGTTTTAGGGCACTTCATGATTACCTTATGTCTGAAGAAATGTTAGTTACAGCATCTTTACACATTGGGACAAAAGACATTATTTTAACCAGTGTTTGTATATAGTTTAATTATTTTACTGTATTTTGTATATTATACACAGTTATAAATTATTATTGTTATTATATATTATTCAGGAGCATCCTGTATCCCAACAAACATTAGCACAAACATTTGTAGCACTTGTAGGAGCACTTGCTGAAAGCGTTAATGTTGATCACGCAAGTACTTTCATCCGAGATTTTTTAATAGTTGGATTAGCGAACAAAGACTTAACTGAAATATGGTGTCCAACTAAACCATTCGAAATGTTAAATGATGTGATTTCTGCAGAAAGAAATATATCTATAGAAGCAAGACTTATTGGACAAGCTGGAAAGAACACAATTTTATCAGTTTATCATGTTGGAATTTATGCAAACAAAGAATATTTGGGTTCAGGTAATAATTGGTTTATAATGGGTTTATATTTGAAAAACATAAATATCTTATAATGAATAATTAATTATATTTTTAGGTTTTGGAGAAACTGTTGCAGAAGCAAAGGATGTAGCAGCTATTAATATATTGGCGCAAATATATGGATTACACCATACAAGTCAACCACTACGATTTAATGAAAAAATAAATGTATCTGCTTGAAAACAAATTATTATCTAAATTTATGTACTGAATTTGTAAAATGGATAACAATTATAGATGTATATGTGTACATATAAAATATAATTATTATTTGTTTTATAATGATATTGCCCTATTGAAATAATATTATAAAAATAGAATACTTTAAATAATTCACTGAAACAAATTAAAAGAAATATTAAGCAAGAAAAAAGAAAAGTAATACAGGAAAAATACAGTTTCAACAGATTACAACTTTTAAAAGTGAAAAGTATCGATATGAAACTTAATGAAATTATAAATAAAGGTTTGTATGGATTAATATGTTTAGAATAAATTTTTCTTTATACATTTTTTCAACAATGATTATTTATTTTAAAATATTTCGAGATGAATATTGTTCTCTTATATGAATATTGTTTAAATTAAAAAATATATAAAATATTAAAAATATAGTATTTTTAAAGGAAAATTAAGAAACAACATTATTATAAAGAGATCGATATTATGATATAAAATTCAAATTTTTTTATTGTTAAACATTATGTTATTTTGTTTCACAGGACATTTTGTGGACGTATTAAACTACGAATCTATATGTATACGTAGATCATTACGAAAAACTGCATAACGGTATTAGCAACGTTCGTTTTATGTGACAGAGAATTTTATAGCATAATAGCTGATATCATGTTATACTTACTGTATAATTTTTATTAATCGACTTTTGATAATATTATCAACAATATATTATGTATTGACACTTTTCAAGAATAAATTATTTGTGTTTTTATATGTTCTTGCATCGATATCGTTTTTACTTTACAAATTTTATATGAACCTATACATAATTATATATAAAACCTGTTATAATTATCAAGTTAATTGTAATACAAAAGAATATACCAAAGTATACATATATTATTATACATTTTTATGAGTAAATACTTTGATATATTCCTTGTATATGTGAATTATTTTTAGACGATTCGAATAATATTTTATGTTTCACATTTTATGTTACTAATATATATTATTTCACACTGTTAAATATCAATATCATGGTTATAATTTTACATTAAATATATTAGTCATAATGCAAATATATTAGGCATTACTAAATACTTATATAAATTTTAATTCAAGGAATTTAATAGATACTCTGTTATATTTCTACGGAAACAAATTTCTATTATATTTAAAGAGAGAGATCCAAATCATTTTCAAACTTCACGTATTTTGCGTATTTTACGATTGATTAAAAGTATACGCATGAAAATATTAACTTACGTATGAAAGAAATTTGAAAAATTTGATACAAACAGCAAGTCGTCGTTATCAAAAATATCAGAAAAACATATTATTTTAATTAAAATATATCGTGTGTTGAAAATATTCGATTGTTACAATCACAAGTACTACTCAGAAATGTAATGAAATTTTGAAATTGTTACTTTTTCTAGACATTACAGGAGTTAAATGTCCAAAATTTTTCTATATCGGTCGTAGATATAATATTGATTACTTATGATTCATGCTATCCCCTTTAAGGTGGTTCATCCTTGTCCCCATCCGCACTCCACCGCTCCAAGTTTCCGCCACTTCTACCATCTCCCTCTTTCTCTTTCTCTTTTCATTTTTGTTTCTCTTTTCCTACATTCGTCTCGCTTCTTATTCTCTCTATTTCTTTTCCACTTCTGGCAGTTTCTTTCTTCTTTCCACGCAGCACTGTTCTTTCTTTCTTTCTTGCTTATTCACTTACATATATATATATATATGTATATATACATATATACTGTATCCTATATACTATATATATACTATATAGTATATATTATATACCATACATTATATACTATGTATACACACACATATATATATGCCGCGTGCGCACACACACAAATATACGCAATCGCACGTATTATCCCACTACTTGCTCTATTCCTGCGTGTAACGACTCAATGGCGCTGCCACACCCTTTCGCCATCGAGTAATCAGTGTTATTGTTTTACAGTTCCACTTTTATTGTTATTTCTCGGTACAAGGAGCGTAACATATCGATTCAGAAAATATTTTAAATACACTGCGACAAGGCACACTCGTATTTAACAACATAAAACGAGGAGAGATAATGATTCAGCATTAAAATCAGCCACATCGATAACAAAATGAAACGATATACATATAAAGGAATCAATTTGTACAGTCTACGCCCCTGGATTCTTGATGTTTGGGCTTGGTTTTGGTAGATAAAACACCGTGCATAACTTACTTCATTTATCTTGAAACAAATTTTCAATTTGCAACTTCTCAAATTTATAAGTTCCACCGTTCGTCCATTTAAAGTAACATTCTGATTAATTTGTAAAATAAATAATTCATTTTTTAGATTCAAAGAAAGTTAGAAAAGAAGGGCGTAAGTCTTGTAAATTCATATTTTTATTAAAAAAAAAAAGAAATACAATCTAAGCAATTTGTGTTCTGTCCACTAAATATTATAACAAAACGTTTAGAAGTTCTACATCATTCCACCTATTATATTTTTCTGTAAGTCTCTATATTTTTAAATTTTCTTGTAAAGGTACAAACATCCGCAGATTATGAAATTCTAATATATTTTAGCTCTCTTTATCAATCTGCAGTATTTAATTAAAATTTCCTCGTCGTATATTTTTCCAATTCAAGTACGTGTTCATAATTGCTAGATACAATATGGTAAAGTTTAGAATTATACGACATATTCAATGAGATGAAACCTTTCTTACGTCAAAATCACGAACATGCAAATGTTTAATTTCTCACTGAAAAAGTGAGTTAATTGTAAATGTCGTTTCTTCTTTTTTTCCTTTTTTTTTTATCTTGTCTATATGAATGGAAACAACGACCATGGAATAA